TCCCAGTTTCCCCCGACAGAGGCTCCTCTGCAGACACTTCACATGGACGTGTGGGGCCCGGCCCCCGTCCGTGGGCAGGGTCACGAGCGCTACTTCCTGTTGGTGGTTGACGACTACTCGCGTTACACCTCAGTCTTCCCCTTGCGCAGCAAGGGTGCTGTCACTGAGGTGCTGATCGACTGGATCCGCAAGGCTCGTCTCCAGCTCAGGAGGAGCTTCGGCTCGGACTTTCCTGTTCTGCGTCTGCACTCTAACCGAGGTGGGGAGTTCTCCTCTCGCCTTCTGCGAGACTACTGTCGTGCACAGGGGATCCGCCAGACCTTTACGCTTCCGGACTCTCCACAGCAAAATGGGATTGCTGAGCGCCGCATTGGCATGGTCATGGATGTCGCTCGTACGTCCATGATGCATGCGGCTGCCCCCCATTTTCTGTGGCCGTTTGCGGTTCGGTACGCGGCGCATCAGCTCAACCTTCACCCCAGGGTCTCTCGGCCCGCGATGTCCCCAGTGTTACTGTGGACGGGGAAGGTTGGCGATGCGTCTGCGTTCCGTGTCTGGGGATCTCGGGCGTTTGTCCGCGACTTATCTGCGGACAAGCTGTCCCCCCGTGCTGCTCCCTGTGTCTTCCTTGGCTTCCCCCCTGACGCTCCAGGGTGGCAGTTCTACCACCCCTCCTCTCGTCGTGTTCTGTCCTCCCAGGACGTCACGTTCGACGAGTCAGTCCCCTTCTACCGCCTCTTCCCCTACCGTACTCCTTCCCTCCCCCCCCCACCGGACTTCCTGGTGTCAGTTCCCCCCCCGGTAGACCCCCTCCCCCCTAAGGTTCCTGCCCCTTCAGGTGTGTCCCAGGTAGACACAGTCGAGCCAGTCGAGGTTGCTGCTGAGTCTGGTCCTGCTGCGGGTGCAGAGTCTGGGGGTGCTACGCCTGCGGGTGCTGAGCTTGGGGGTGCTGCTGCTGGGGGTGCTGAGCCTGGGGGTGCGAGGCCGGGGGGTGCTGAGCTTGGGGGTGCTGCTGCTGGGGGTGCTGAGCCGGGAGGTGCTACGTCAGGAGCTACTGAGCCTGGGGGTGCTGAGCCTGGAGGTGCGGAGCCTGCGACTGCTGGACCTGGGGGCTCTCCGGTTGCTTCGTCTCGGCGGGAGCCGCTCTCTCCACAGGAGCTGCGCGAGTGGTTTGCTCGCCGCTGGAGGCGTGCTGCTAGAGCTGGAGCTCCTTCGACTGCTGAGGGTGCTGGTGCTGCCGGTCCCGGAGCTGCTGGGCCTGCGGGTCCTACTGGAGCTGGAGCTGCTGAGCCTGGGGGTGTTGAGTCTGGAGTTGCTGAGCCTGGGGGTGCCGAGTCTGGAGCTGCTGAGCCTGGGGGTGCTGAGTCTGGAGCTGCTGAGCCTGAGGGTGCTACGTCTGGAGCCGCTGAGCCTGGGGTTTCTCCTGGTGCTGCGCCTCGGCAAGAGCCCCTCTCTCCGCAGGAGCTGCGCGAGTGGTTTGCTTGCCGCTGGAGGCGTACTGCTGGAGCTGGAGCTTCTTCGACCGTCGAGGGTACTGGTGCCGCCGGTCCCGGAGGTGCTACGCCTGCGGGTCCTACTGGAGCTAGGGCTGCTGAGGGCGTTGGTGCTGAGTCTGCTGCTGTCTGTCCTGCCGGTGGTTCTGCTGCTGGTGCTGCTGGAGGTCCTGCCGCTGGAGGTGTTGGTGGCGCTGGTGCTGCCGCTGAGGGTGCTGGTGCTGTCCCTGCTGAGTCTAGAGCTGCCGCGCGGCCTCGGCGTACTTCGTTCCGCTTCTGCAGCAGGTTCTTGGTCTTTCTCCTCCGGTAGAGTGTCCACAGCCTGTCCAGTCGCAGTCACAGTTGGAGCCTACCTCCCCACTGCCTGCTCCCTCTCCTTACACTGGTCCTACTGGAGGTCTTGCTGAGCGTCGTGAGCCTGCGTCTCGTCCTGCGTCGCCTGTTCGTGCTGCCCGCGCTAGTGGTCGTGGTTCGCGTTCGCGTCCTCCTCCTGTCCCTGGCACGCACCGGATGTCTCTGCGTCCGTCCACTGCTCCTCTGCGTGCCCTTTTGCCTTCTCCTCCTGAGTCCTCCCTTCCTGTGCTTACCGACCCAGAGTCGGACTCCCTTCGTGCTGCCAGTCCTACTGTCACGCGTCTGCTTGCTACTGTCGTCACTGACCCCTCTTTTGAGTCCGCTGCTCCGTCTGCTCTTGTCGCTGAGCTCGTCGACTTTGCTGCTCGCTGCCGTCTAGACTACGCTGCTAGTCTTGTTGCTGAGTCTGCGTCTGTCTGTCCTCCGTCCGTCGGGGGTGAGTGTGCTCTTGGCACGGACGTCCTAGAGGACAGGCAGGAGGAGTTCCAGTGTCTGGCTGCTGCTTCACCTCATCTCGCGTCTGTACTGCTTGCTCCTGAGGGAGACCCGGATGCACTAGACATCCCGACTCCGCGCTCTTACGCGGAGGCCGTAGAGGGTCCCTACTCCTCTCAGTGGCAGGCAGCTATGGATGCAGAGATGGCTTCCTGGAAGTCCACAGGCACCTACGTTGACGCGGTTCCCCCTCCTGGGGCGAACATCGCTAGTGGCATGTGGATCTTCAGGGTGAAGCGGCCACCGGGCTCTCCACCTGTCTTCAAGGCGCGGTACGTCGCTCGTGGCTTCAGTCAGCGGCAAGGAGTTGACTACTTTCAGACCTTCTCTCCCACCCCAAAGATGACCACTCTTCGGGTGCTGCTGCACATAGCCGCTCAGCGCGACTACGAGCTTCACTCTCTCGACTTCAGTACTGCGTTCTTGCAGGGGAGCCTGCATGAGGAGATCTGGCTGCGCCGTCCACCTGGCTTCACTGGGACTTTCCCTCCTGGCACCCAGTGGAGCCTCCGACGGCCAGTCTACGGTCTCCGCCAGGCACCACGTGAGTGGCACGACACACAGAGGACTACGCTTGCGGCCCTTGGGTTTGCTCCTTCTACTGCTGACCCGTCGCTGTTTCTGCGCACCGACACTTCACTGCCGTCGTTCTACATCCTCGTGTACGTCGACGACTTGGTCTTTGCCACAGCGGACACTGCTGGACTCGCCTACGTGAAGTCCGAGCTGCTGAAGAGACACACGTGCACAGACCTGGGTGAACTGCGCAGCTACCTTGGCTTGCAGATCACTCGGGACAGAGCACGCCGCACCATTACATTGACTCAGTCACACATGGTGCAGCAGGTCCTTCAGCGCTTCGGCTTCACGTACTCCTCGCCTTAGGCCACTCCTCTGCCTACTCGCCACTCGCTCTCAGCTCTGCCTTCGGATGAGTCCGTAGAGTCGAGTGGCCCGTACCCAGAGCTTGTTGGCTGCCTCATGTACCTGATGACCTGCACACGACCTGACCTTGCATACCCTCTTAGCATTCTTGCACGCTATGTTGCTCCTGGGAGACACAGACCAGAGCACATGGCTGCAGCGAAGAGGGTATTGCGCTACCTGTGCAGTACGTCGGGCATGGGGCTAGTGCTTGGAGGGCGGAGTCCAGTGGTACTTACAGGTCACGCGGACGCTTCTTGGGCTGACGACCAGGCTACGCAGCGGTCGTCACATGGTTACACCTTCAGCCTTGGCTCCGGCTCTGTCTCGTGGCGGGCTACTCGCTCGTCTTCGGTTCTCAGCTCGAGTTGTGAGGCTGAGATCTACGCAGGGGCCATGGCTGCACAGGAGCTTCGCTGGCTCACCTACCTGCTGACTGACCTTGGAGAGCCGCCTCGTTCTCCTCTAGTGCTGTACGTAGACAACAAGGCCATGCTGGCCTTGTGTCGAGAGCAGCGTCTGGAGCACAGAACGAAGCACATTGCTCTTTGCTACTTCCTTGCTCGTGAGCTACAGCAGCGTGGACAGTTGCGGCTTGCGTACGTGGCCTCTGAGGCCAACACTGCTGATGTGTTCACCAAGGCACTCGCGCCTTGTGACCATGAGCGCTTCTGCACCCAGCTGGGTCTTGTGCCTGTCTTGCCTCACTTGCTCTCCTCTTGACTTTACTTGTACTGTCACATATATATACCTGCTCTTGCTTGTCTAGCTTTATATATATATGTGTGTACTCCTGCATGTGAACTGGCCTTGTGGCCTTGCTCTTGTGCTCGGACTGTGTGGTGACTTTGTGATCCACCCTGAGCTTTGCTTTGCTTTGCTTGACTGGTCTTGTGACCCCTTGTTCTCCCCCACTTTGCCTATGGGGGTGTGTCAGAACATATATGTAGCTTATGCTGTTGTGTAGGCTACAGTGGGGTATACCATAGGGGGTACAACCCAATTAGGGCTTTGCTATTTGTACTCACTTCACTCATAGTTCATTTCATTCTCGTTCTATTCTCTACAGGTGCCGCTGGTCTCATGTCCTCCCCAACGAGCTGCGTCTGGCATAGTCGCGCCCGCGGAGCGCCCATCTCACCCAACAGCGTCACCCCTTTAACCGCCATCGGTACCACCCGTCCCGCTGGGAAGCTCACCGCGACCGGCCTTTCTGGAGCTTGCAAAGACACCTCGTCCGGGCAGAAGAGGTGATCCGTCTTGACCTTTTCCCCGTCATCGCCGCGCACTGTCCAGTACATAAATTCCTGTGTGCGCGCCAAGACCGTGCGCACCACTTTTGCTGCTGCCACAATTGCCGTCGATGTCTTTGGCGCTGCTAGCATAGCCTTCCAGCTCGCCGGCGCTGCCTCGTATGCCTTCGTCGCCCACCTAGCTGACGCCACACTGCCGAACTCCGCCGTCAGCTCTCTGATTCCCTTCAACTCTCTTCCCCCGTCCGCCTTGGTCATGAGCAGGTCGCCAAGCCGTGTCGTGGGAATACCCTCCGTCCCTTTTCGGTTCCCGAAAGGGCTGTTGCCTCGGAAAATGATACGACGGTTGAAGCAGAGGAGCTCGCGCTCCACCTCCCACCCGTTTAATGGCTCCGGGAGGTTCGCCAGCGGTGATTCCCAGACAACCTCGACTACCGCCTTCCACCTCTGACTACCCTTCTCCCAGTGCTTTCCAGCAGATTTATGTGTGAAGAGCGTCGCCGTCCCCTGTGGCATCGCCGCTGCCCTCTCCGCCAGCCAACTCTTGGTAACACTTTTTCTCCGTAAGTAGCTTGCCCACCATTCGAATCGCCAAACTGTCCAGTCTATCCTTCGGGTCCACCAGCCCCAGGCCCCCCTCCTTTTTTGGAAGTCTTGCCAGCTCACCACTCCATAGGACAAAAATATTGTCTGCTGTTGCCTCCCCTTTTGACACATAGTTGTCACAGGTCTTTTGTATCTTCGCCCACAGCTCCTCTGGCGGCGGGTAGATCTGCGCCTGGAAGAGGAAAATCGGCATTACATAGTTGTTAATCACCATGACCCGCGCCGCCGTCAGCAGGTGTTGGCTCTCCCATTTCACCAGCTCACTCTTCCCGCGCTCCCATGCCTTTTCCCAGGACGGCGCGGCATCACCGTCCGGCGTGACCCAAATTCCCAGCAGTCGTTCCGGTTTGTCGCCTTCCGCCCACTTGAAAGACACCCTCGGTAGGGATGTTCTTCCTTTGTTCCTTCCCAACGGCATAACAATTGACTTCTCCCCATTCATCCGTAGCCCCGACAGGTTCCCGAAGACGTCCAGTGCCTCCGCCGCCGACCGAAGCTGGTCCGCCCCCTGGAGTATGAGCGACGTGTCGTCGGCGTAGCCTACGTACGCCACCGATTCCCCCCCTTCAGCCTTGACGCCCAAGTCTCTCTTCCTGATCTCTGCACAGAGCGGCTCCAGAGCGCACAGAAACAGGTACGGCGCCAGTGGGCACCCCTGCCTGACCCCCCTCTGCATTTCCACCTTGTCCCCGATCCAGCCGTTGATCGCCAGTCTGGTGCCAGACCCCTGATGAAGCCCCTTCGTCCACCGCACAAAACTCGCAGGTAGTTGAGCTTGGACAGTGTTTCGAAAAGGAAAGGCCGCGACACTGTATCATATGCTTTCTGGAAATCCACCAGCAAGAGGTACCAGTCATCCCCCCCGCTGTCCGCCGCTTCAATCGCATCCGCCTCCACCGTCACCGCGTCTGCCAGGCTGCGGCCGGGAATGAAACCATGCTGCTCCTGCGAGAAGCCTACGACATGTTTCGTAGCCTCGGGCGTCCACCCACACTGAAAGGAAATCTCGTCCAAAAATGCAAGAAGATGCCGTATGTTTCTAGAGAAATTACTTGTCGAAACTTTTACTGCTGTACGAGGCTGCCCAGCTCACAAACAAAAAACAGCCCGCCAAATGGAAAACCCTCGATATGGATAAAAGAAAATCACGAACGGGCACGATCTCTCATCGTTTGAACGAGCAGGCTGAAAGACATAATTTGACCCTATTCAAAACTAATGCAGCGTTTACCCTATAGCATGCCACTCAGAGCGGGCCTGCCTGAGTGGAACTGGAAAGCAGAAATGGAATTGACTTTCACTGACGGTCGAGCTTGCCTGAGCAAGCATTTTTGTGGTAGCGTCCTCAACTTAACTCGGTCTGGTTTTTTTACGCGTTTGGTAGCCAAAAGCATTGGGCAGGTATGGTGTTCTAATAAAGATTCGGTGGGTTTTAAGGTAGGTTTAAATTGGGTAGAGGAAGATCACATGCACCAACCGCAGTGTGACTGGGGGGGCTACCGAACAGGGCCCTAAGGGGGTGTCCAGCTCGTACATTTACTGTTCGTAAGCCCACTCAGTTACCACATTTTTTGTTGTAACACTGTATTGAACGTGTCCTGGGGACACAATCAACTTTCGTTCACAAAACGGCACGCCCCCTGCACGTACCTCGAGTCGTCTGACTCACGTTACTGGAATTAGCGGGGACACGATCAAGGGTGCAACACCGCGTCATGGCCACTACAGTAGTGCCCCATGTATCGCTTGCACAATTTCGCCAGTAGCTCGCTACACTCGCCAACACCCCCCCCCCCCCCCCCCGCCTGCACAAAAATTCGTTAGCTATGATTGACGAGGGAAACCGTTACCTCGTTTCGAACCCGATCAGAGCACTGTTGATTCGTGTGGCGGAGAACGTGTCCGCGCTCCTGAAAGTACAGGTAGGTGGGACTCAACTCACAATGCATTCGTTTATAGGTACAGTGAAATTTTTTGAACCTCGAGACGTGTGTTGGCACTAAAAACCCCGAAATGAACGAACTGGACACGCCCTAAGCTATCTGCTGAAGAAATACAAGGAATCTGCTGACGCCGAGTCAAAATTGGGATGGGATGGGATGAGATGGGATGAGATGGGATGGGATGGGATGGTATGGGATGGGATGGGATGGGATGGGATGGGATGGGATGGGATGGGATGGGATGGGATGGGATGGGATGGGATGGGATGGGATGGGATGGGATGGGATGGGATGGGATGGGATAATGGAAACGTGTGTGGGAAGGGACGCGACGACTTATGGGACTGCTACATTTTTTCTGGAGGACTGGCGTGCTTGGCGGATGGCGGACGGCCCATGTTACTGTACTGTCTGGGAAGTTCCCCTCGCAATCTAGGAGGTTCCTCCTCAACGTCAGCTCACCCTTCGCAAACCTGCAGCTCTGTTACAAGCGCTTTCGCTATAGGCGGAAATGCGGTATCGAGGGGAAATGACTGTTCGTCAACCAGCCAGCACACCATGCGCCAAAAGCAAATGCAACGAGTCTCGGGAGGACTGGTTACCAGAGCGGAATGACGTTGGCGAAAGTCGTCGTCGCTCCTATCGAAAGAGCAGCTCGCTCGCGGTTGTCCACACACACGGATGTGCTCGAACCATTCGACGTGTGAGTTGCCCGAAGAAAAGCAGCGAAGGTAAAATATCGGCATCGCCAAGAAACGGCCGACTCTCGTCACTCTGTTACTTTCGCCACAAACAGCCTGACCGCAGTCTGGTCGTACAGATGTAACACACCATAAGGTTGGAAGCTTGGCGTATTGCATGATTGAAGCCACCTTACAACCAGCACCAGACAGCCATTTGATTTTTCAAACAGGCGTCGATGATCTAATCTCGTATGCGATTTGTACAAGCATTTATTAGGGCCTTATCGGTGCGTATTTGGGGACACTAGCTTGGCGGTCCGTACTGATGTGAAGCATACATACTTCCGAAGCCACGCGTTCATTCGCAAATGCCGCCCATTCCGGTCATTCACACCCTCCCACCACTCAGATATCTACTTTCGCGGGCGGCCCACATCTCGTCGCGCGCGCATCCCCTCCCCGTCACCCCCGTCGCCTTTCCCATTCCCGTCACCTCCTCCCCGTCGACTTCCATCCTCGTCGCCTCTCCTCCTTCTCACATTCCATCTCCTTCCCATCGCCTTCCATTCTGTCGCCTCCTCCCCGTCGCCTTGCATATCCATCGCCACTCACCCCCGTCGCCTACCCCGCCGTGTTTCCCCTCTCCTCCCCGTGGCCTCAACCCCTGCTCCATCCTTGCTCGCCTCCTTGCTTCCTTCCTCATTCCTCGTCCATCCCTTCCCCGCGGTGACTCAAAAGTCTTTCCCCGCTCCTCCCTTTCTCCCGTGCTCTCTTCATCCCGTCGTCCCTTACTACCTCCCTCGCTCGCTTCAGCTTCATCAGGTGCGCTCGTGCTTCCAGCGAGGGGGGAAGCTGTGTAAACGTTTGTGTTGTCTTAGTCGAAGCTTTATACTCGTCATGGAAAAAATATCTATAACACTCGTAATGATTGTGTTAATTTCATATATTTATATACATTTTTTTTTCATGTGTTCAACTGTACTTGCAAGCATCGCGTCCATCCCCGATTCGCAGCAGCAGCACGTCGTCCATCGCAGGGATGGTCGCAGTCGCAGTCGCAGTCGCAACCACAGCGAGGTGACTTTCGAGTCCACTCAAAGTCATATCGTCGTCCGTCGCAGGGCCGTCGCAGGGATGGTCGCAGTCGCAGTCGCAGCGAGCGACATCGCATGGCTGCTCCTGGTCGGCGCGGTTTGGGGAATCACAAATCCGCTCATCAAGCGCGGCGCCGCGATGTCGAAGCGGCACATCAAAGCGGACGAATCCGCCGCCGCCGCTGCCGGCAAAACCGCCGGCCTGGAAGCTTCCATGTTGTTTCCTGAAAGATTGTCCTTCAGATGCAGGAGATTCGTCCACGTGGTTACCCGTGATTGGCAAGTTGGTCGACGGGAGGGAGTAGGTAAGAGGCAAGGGTTCAGAGAGATGTTAGCGGCATTACTTAGGAGCTCCAGCCATAGGTGGTTATAGGCGTACTGTGGGCTTGGGTTTCAAAGAACTCTGGGAAAAGTGAGGCGCGACAGAGCTGCTTGGCGGGTTGCATGACAGACACACCTAGCAGAATGTAAACGTTTCCGACGTCCCTGTCCCCCCTGTTCCCTTCCTTGCCATCGTCCCCCGGCAAAATGTACACGATTGCATTTGAGGGTGTACTAAAGTTAGGACACGATCCAAAAATGTACACGACGGGTTTTGAGTCGCCTTGTGAGTCGCCTTTCGAGTCGCCTTTTGAGGCGTTTTGTTTGGAGCCACCCTCTCCGCTCTGCCAAGGGAATACTCCACAGCCACCCTCTCTGCTGCTTCCCTCTTCCCTGCTGACCCAAGAGCTCACCGCCCTCCTCCCTCCCTGTCCTGTGGCCCCCTCTACATAGCGCACCCTTCTAGATGTGCCTTGCGCATACCCTTCTCTCGCCCCATCCTCACCCCACCCTCACCCCACCCTCACCCCACCCTCACCCCACCCTCACCCTACCCTCGCCCCACCCCCACCCCACCCTCACCCCACCCTCGCCTCCTCTTTCCATTCCCTTTCCCTTCCCTTCTTCCTTCTTGACCCCTTCACATCCCCTTCCCTCCTCTCTTCTCTCCTATTTGTCCCATTGACAGGCGTGCGTATCTCTCCTTAGTCCAATCTCTGCCGCTCTGCTTCCTCTCCACTTCCCATCTTTGTACCACATGTGATGAGTCGGTTTTTGAGTCCACTTCCCATCTCTGTGCATCCAACTTTCCTGAAACCCTTTGTGTGGCGCTCTTCTGCAACGCCCCACACCACTGCCCATCTCTGTACCACAAGCCTCTGTGCCAGTGGGAACACTCTGTAGCACAAGCGTTGCTTCTTCACTTTGCAGAGACGCTTACGTCTTTCTCCCAGTCAGCAGACGATTAATGCCTTCCCCCTCTGCAACCCCCTACCTCCGTCAGTAAGACACACACACGCCTCTGTGCCTCAACCTCTCCGGTTCACTCCTCTGCTTCCTTATCCTGAGGGACACCCACGTCTCTCTCAACCAGCAACACGCTCTGCCTTCCCTCTCTGCACCCCCCATCCGCACAGTGGTACACTCGTCTATCCCAGCCTCTGTGGGGATGGGGGGTGCAGAGAGGGAAGGCAAAAACCTGTCTCAACCCCTCAGCGTCTGTGCCTCAACCTGTCGGGTTTAGTCTCTTGCTTCCTCACCCTAAGGGGCGTGCACGTCTTTCTCAGTCAGCAGTGACAACTGCCTTCCCCTTTCCCCTCTCCCTTTCACCCTCTCCGCTTCCCCCTCTCCCCTTCCCCCTCTCCGCTTCCCCCTCTCCCCTTCCCCCTCTCCGCTTCCCCCTCTCCCCTTCCCCCTCTCCGCTTCCCCCTCTCCCCTTCCCCCTCTCCGCTTCCCCCTCTCCCCTTCCCCCTCTCCCCCACCAGTACGACTCCCCTCTGTGCCTCAACCTCTCGGGCTTGTTGCTGTTCTTCCTCCTCCTGAGGGGTGCACATGTCTCTGTGGCAGTGCTGTGCCGGTCAGCAACCCTCAGTCCCCTACTTAAATCCACCCCCCTCTGCACCTCCTCTGCACCCCCTCTGCACCCCCCTGCTCCCAATTGCACCCCCACCAATACGACTCCCCTCTGTGCCTCAACCTCTCAGGCTTGCTGCTATTCTTCCTCGCCCTGAGGGGTGTGCGACACATCTCTCCCACAGTCTCCCCCCTTCCACCCCCCCCCCCCCAACCATCTGACCCCGCCTCCCCCTCTCCAGTACCACCTGCCGCTGTGCGGCTGTGCCTCAACCCCCACCCCACAGTGCTACACGGCCCTGGGCCTCTTTTTGAGAATTCTAAAAAACCAGCTACACGGCTTCCCTTGCTTCCTTACCCTGAGGGGCCTCCCTTGCTTCCTTACCCTGAGGGGCACCCACGTCTCTCCCGGTCAGCAACACGCACTGCCTTCCCTATATGGGAGTGACTTTTGAGAATTCTCAAAAGTCACTCCCATATAGGGGCACCCACGTCTCTCCCGGTCAGCAACACGCGCTGCCTTCCCTCTCTGCAACCCCCGCCCCCACAGTACTACACGCTTCTGTGCCTCAACCTGCCGGGTACACTCCGTTTCATCCACACACCACGACGCACGTTTCTGTGGCATTCCCTGTCAGCAAACTTTTGAGACGTCTCAAAAGTCGCACGTTTCTGTGGCGTTCCCTGTCAGCAAACTTTTGAGACGTCTCCAAAGTCGCACGTTTCTTTGGCATTCCCTGTCAGCAAATCTCGCTTCTCCTTTCAGTCCTCTTCCTCCACCCACCTCTGCACTCCTCTTCCTCACACTAAGGGATGTGCATGCCTCTCTGGCCGTGGCAGTGCAGTGCCGGTCAGCAACCACCACTGCCTTCCCCCTCTCCCCGAAACAAACAACACAACCCCCCCTCCGCTTCCCCCCTTCCCAGTACTACGTGCCTCTCTGCCTCAACCTCTCTGGTTTAGTCCTCTTCTTCCTCACATTAAGAGGCGTGCATGTCTCTGTGGCCGTGCCGGTCAGCAACGGGGCTACCTTTGCCTTCAACGCAGCAGCTGCCTATGCGTTTGGGGAGAAAATACAACTAGTACAACCCCCCTCCGCCCCTCCCCCCCCTACCCCCTTCCCCCACCCCCTCCCCTTCCCCCTTCCCAGTACTATGTGCCGCTGTGCCTCAACCTCTCGGGTTTGGTCCTCTTCTTCCTCACATTAAGAGGCGTGCACGTCTCTGTGGCAGTGCCTGTCAGCAACGGTGCCACCTTTGGCTTCAACGCAGCAGCTGGCTATGCGTTTGGGGAGAAAATACAGCCAGTACTAGCCCCCTCCCCCTCTTCCCCACCCCCTCCACCCCACCCCCCCAACCCCAACAACAACCCCAACCCCAACACCACAGTACTACGTGCCTCTGTGCCTCAACCTCTCGGGTTCGGTCCTCTTCTTCCTCACCCTACGAGGCGTGCACGTCTCTGTGGCAGTGCCGGTCAGCAACGGGGCCACCTTTGCCTTCAACGCAGCAGCTGGCTGTGCGTTTGGGGAGAAAATACAGCCAGCGTTAGCATTGGGGGGTGTATCGCTGGCTGTGCTAGGCATTGCCTTGTGTGTATAGCGAGTTATGCTTGATACCAACAACAGTAGTTAAACGATTTGCTTGGGAACCATGGCCTCTGCAAAGGCGTACCGTATATCACACAGACACACACACACAGACAGACACACAGACACACATGAACACACACACACACACACACACACACACACACACACACACACACACACACACACACACACACACACCCACCCACCCACCCACCCACCCATCCACCCACCCACGCACCCACCCACTCACCCACGCACGCACGCACGCACGCACGCACCCACCCACCCACCCACCCACCCACCCACCCACCAACCAACCACCCACCCACCAACCACCCACCCACCAACCACCCACCCACCAACCACCACCACCACCACCACCACCACCACCACCTTATAACCGCATGCATAGAATTCATATGCCCCATCCTGCTTCACGCACCGTGGTCGTCATGTGTCCCCCCTGCCCCATACGCCCTTGATCAAGTCGATTTTGAGTCGATAAAAAAATCTGCTTATCGCACCGTGGTCATCATGTGTCCCCCCTACCCCATACGCCCTTGCGGGTGACGATCATGAGCTTGGGCACCGTGGCCTCTGCATGGGCGTACAGCAGCACACCCAGCACCATACAACCCCCAAGTACCGACAATCACTTGTGCCCCTCGGCCCATCATACGCACCCCCATACGCCTTGCATGTGAGGACAGTGAGCCTGGGCAGGGCACTGTTGCAGCTGCATACGCATACAGCAGCTTCGCTCCCTGCCTGCATGTTGATGCGGCTCCTGCGCTGCGCCTGCAGGTGAAACGAGTGAGTTTAGATTAAGACGTCTCAAAACACAAAGACACATAGGCAGATGTGTACGAACAGAACACACGTGTATCACCGCATACAATAGCTTCGCTCCCTGCCTGTTGATGCCGTTGTGCTCCTGCTCCGTGCCTGGACACACCGATAGACACACGGGCATGCATAAGTGCCTGATCATGCCGTTGTGCTCCTGCTGCGTGCATGCACACAAATAGGCACACAGACATGCGTCGATGCACAGAACACACGTGTATCACTGCATACAGCAGATTCGCCCCCTGCCTGCCTGATACTGCCGTTGTGCTCCTGCTCTGTGCCTGTACGCATGCATCGACACACATAAACACAAATGGACAGACGGGCATCAGTGCACATAACGCATGTGTAGCCATGAGAACAACAGCTCCGCCCCCTGCCTAATGGTGCCGTTGTGCTTCTGCTCCGTGCCTGCAGGGGAAACACAACGACACAGAGGCAGGAATGTACACACAGAAACACACGTTGTATACAGCAGCTTCGCCCCCTGCCTGCCTAATGGTGCTGTTGTGCTACTTCTCCATGCCTGTACGCATTAGACACACATAGCCACAAATGAGTACAGCAGCTCCGCCCCCTGCCTGATGATGCCGTTGTGCTCCTGCTCCGTGCCTGCAGGGGTGAAACGCGCACACATAGACACACATAATGCACACTTGTGTATCACTGGGTGCAGCAGCTTCCTCCCTGCCTACCTGATGATGCCGTTGTGCTTCTGCTCCGTGCCTGCAGGGGCAGACACGTGTGGAGACACAGAGACACACGGACATGTATAAGACACATGCATCACTGGGAATAGCAGCTGTGATGCCGTTGTGCTCCTTCTCCATGCCTGCAGCAGGGGAAGAGAAGCACACATAACATCTGGACTCACAAGGATGGACAAAACACACACATGACACACTCTTATGTGTCCACACTACCCCACACGACCCCACCCGACCTGAGCCCACCAGAAAGGGGTCAGGCTAGGTCGGGTCTACCTGGCTGGGTTGGTTCGGGCCCACCTGGTTGGGTCGGGTCGAGCCTACCTGGTTGGGTCGGGTCGAGCCTACCTGGTTGGGTCGGGTTGAGCCCACCAGTGGAGCGGCGACCCTGCCTGGCCCCTCGGCCAAAACACGGGGTCGGGTCGGGTCGGGTCAGGTCAGGTCGAACCGGCCTCGGCGACCCTGCCTTGGCGACCCTGCCTCGGCGACCCTGCCTCAGCGACCCTGCCTCGGCGACCCTGCCTCGGTGACCCTGCCTTGGTGACCCTGCCTCGGCGACTCCTGCTTCGGCGACTCCTGCCTCGGCGGCTCCTGCTTCAGCGACTCCTGCTTCGGCGACTCCTGCCTCGGCGACTCCTGCCTCGGCGACTCCTGCCTCGGCGACTCCTGCCTCGGCGACTCCTGCTAGCCTATTATTCCTGCCAGCGTTGACGATCACGCAGCAGCAGCAGCAGCGATATAGGCCCGGACGACCCTGCCCGGGCGACCCTGCCCAGGCGACCCTGCACCGTTTATTCCTGCTGGCATCTAAGACAAAGCAACAGCAGCAGCACAATATAGGCCTGCCTGGGCGACCCTAACTGTCGACTCCTAAGCGTTGACGATCACGCAACAGCAGCAGCAGCTGTCGCTGTAGGCCCGGGCGACCCTGCGCCGCCTATTCCTGCTAGCGTCGTCGACGAAGCAGCAGCAGCCGCTGCTGCGAACGGCAGCGGCGGCGGCATCCCCGCTAGAGAGAGGAGCGCTGCTGCTCCGCGAAAAGCGGGAGACGCGGCGCAGGGAGTGGTGTCTGGAGTGGAGCGGAGTGAGTGGAAATGGGTGGTGAGAGGCGAGAGGCGAGAGGCGAGGGAAACGGGGCAGGATCTTGCTGCTCCACTACAAGCACAAGACGCGGCACAGGGAGTGGGGACTGCAGCGGAACGAGTTGAAAAGTGGGGTGATAGGCGAGAGGGGAGAATGGGCGTGGAGAGGCGAGAGGCGAGAATGGGCGTGGAGAGGCGAGAGGGGAGAATGGGCGTGGAGAGGCGAGAGGCGAGGGGGGGCGGGATCTGGCTGCTCCACTACAAGCGGAGCCCGCGAGAATGCGGGCGAGCACCATCGTGGTGATTGGTGGGAAGGGAGAAGTCTGGGAGAAGTCTGGGCGTAGTCTGGGCCTAGTCTGGGAAACGAGGCGGGATTTAGTAGCTGCTCTGCGACGGGCATGAGACGCGGCGGCGCAGGAGCGGCGTCTACAGCGGAGCGAGTTGAAATGTGTGGTGAGAAGCGAGAGGGGAGAGTGGGAGTTGGGAGGCGAGAGGCGTGGGAAACGCGGCGGGATTTAGTAGCTGCCCCGCGACGAGCATGAGACGCGGCGCAGGGAGTGATACAGAGGAGAGGCAAGAGGTTGCTGCTCCGCGACGAGCGGAGCCACTAAAAATGCGTGCGAGCACTGTCGGAATCTTTCTTCCCCTCTGCCCTCGTGTGTCGGTGCTATCCTCCATGCCTCCCTGCTATATCTCATCAGCCCATCAAGTTCCTTAGCTCCCTCCCCAAGCCTTGGGTCTTTGGTTCTGCCTTTCCTACTTGAAAGTTCCTAGCTACTAGATCTTGGCTAGGAAAACCTAACTCGGCTGACTGCCGATCAAACCCCTTTTCAACAATTCACTTGGGCTTGCTGTGGTTGGCTCCTCTACGAAAGCAGCAATAGGGAGTAACAAATCTTTGGCTAAGAGTGGAAACAAACAAGCAAGCAATTGAACCTACTTCGGTTGCTTGCCTAAGTAGTAGGGTCGGGTTACCGTTGCTCCACAACGGATACCCGCTTTCGCTATGTCTCCTCGTTTCCCCCGCCTTGATTGCGCGGGGTTCCTTTAACTCCTTTGTAACTCTACTCACTACTGTAATCTGTCATGATTTTATATTGTCCCTGCCTACGCTATTTTAGCAATTAAAAACATGACAGCTGTCGGAATCTTTCTTCCCCTCTGCCCTCGTGTGTCGGTGCTGTCCTCCATGCCTCCCTGCTATATCTCATCAGCCCATCAAGTTCCTTAGCTCCCTCCCCAAGCCTTGGGTCTTTGGTTCTGCCTTTCCTACTTGCCCCCTCCTCGGCACTGGTTCAGTCCCTTGTCGCCGATGGACCTCCTGGTAGAAAGGCTGCCCTCCCTTCTCCTTCCTGAGGCTCCTCCTTACTGATGGGGCCATTGTAAGGGGCCTGGCTTGCGCCACGTTCGTCCGATGGTCCCGCTTCTCCTGGCCCTTCTCCCCGACTAGCACCACCACGCCTGAATCCTTCACTTCTTTCACTCTCCACCGCTCGACGCTTAGTCCTATGTCCAGCATGTCCTGCCTCACCTGTTTGACATACACTTCCTCTCCCACCCCCAACTGTGGCCCCCTTTTCTCTGTCTGCTCTTCTCTCCTCCGTTTGTAGCGCTGGGCATCCCTGAGCTGTGCCACTTGCAGGTTCTCGAGTGCCGCTGGCAGCATCTCCCGTTGGTACTGCGCCCGCGCCTCAGCTAACCCCACCCAAGCCTCCGCTGTGTCGGCCCTGACCACCCCCGTCAAGAGCCGTGGCGCATCCACCGGTAGGATGGGTTCCCTTCCTAGCAGCAGGTAGTAAGGGGAGAAGTCTTTTAGGGCCGCTTGCTTACTAAATCGGTATCCTGCCGCCACCCAGGGTAGCCTTGCATCCCAATCTCGCTTGAACTTCTCTCCGTATGCCCTTAGTCCTCGCTTCATAGTCTGCACAAACCTCTCTGTCAGGCCGTCGCTCTGCGGATGGTACCGTGAGGTCCGCCGGTGAGTAATGCCACTCGCCTTCAGTAACTTCTCAAATTCACCCAAGAACTCAGTGCCTTGGTCCGTCAGTACTTCTCCGCAGGCTCCAAAGCGTGTCAGCACTTGCTCCTCGAATGCCTCGGCTATCTTGGCTGAGCTCTTGCTCGGCAGGGCCTTGACTTCCACCCATTTGCTGCCGTGCTCAATCATTATCAGAATGAACTTCTTCCCCCTTCGGCTGAGCGGCATCTCTCCTGCCAGATCTAGGGACCAACGGAACCCTATTCCCCTGATAGGTAACGACTGAAGCTCCTCCCTTCCCTTCTCGAGCTCCGCTTTGTTCCGGCTGCATAGCTCGCACGAGCTCACCCAAGCTTTGATGTCTCCTCTCATGCCTGCCCACCACCAGCCTGTC